TCACCTTTGGTCAGTTGTGTGCTATCCAAAAGTAAAATAGTACAAAAGATTATCTTTAGATGCTTAAATTAAAAGTTCTAAGTTTCCAGTTCGCAAATGAAATTTGAAGTTAAGAAAACAGTAAGATAGATATCAGCTGCTACTTCTAAAATATTGTTTGAAATTGTTACCACAATTTGAAATGCACTTTAATTTTAAAATATAAGCATTTAAAATTTAGGGGAAAAAAACTTTCACGGCTCAGAACTGTAGATCTCTAAAAAAGCCAACCTCCAGTACCGGGAGGCGAAATGTTTTCCACGTCAAGGCCAGAGAAATGCATTATATGTCCCTGGCAGGTCACGTCATCTCGAAGGGAATAGGGGAGGGTGGCTGTTGTCTTGCACACCCTCAAGTGGAAACATCGTTTCTGTGACTGCTTATTACGAGGAGTGTCCATTCCACTGTGACCTTCAACGATTTGCGAGCAGTAGATAATGCTTCCATGGAGATTTTAAAATTCGCCGAAATAATATACAGGTTTAAACTAACAACATTAGAAAGATGATAGAAAATTCGCACTTTTAAAATGGTATAAAATAATTTTCGTCCGATAATTGTTTTAAAGTTATTCACGAAAGAAAAACGGCCTAAATTTGCCCAATTTTTAAATGATTAAAATTTGAATAAAAAGTGAAAATAATGACTCAGTGCATTACAGTCAAGTTTACCTGTACATATTTGATGGCTCTAAGTTCAGCGGTGCATTCTATGGGCCGCCAACACACGCAGACCAGATATTCATCTTTATTACTGGTAGAGATTACTATTCTGAGGTTTGTGAACAAGACATTGTGGCTGATGAGAGAGTTTAAATCTCGGTAAGGCAACACACTCGTCAGTGGGCGAAATTTAGAACAAGCATGAGGGAATTTATTTTTAATTATGACGATCGATATTTCTTTTTTAAAGTGGCTTATTACAAGTATTGAAATGGATTCTATCGTCGTTTTCGAATAAGACCACATTTTTATGAATTCATGAATCAAAAAGAATTATAAAGTATTTTCTTGGCCGATATTTAAATATTTCAAAGTGCGAAACATGGATCCAGAAGCAATGATGGCGATTGGGTGGCAAAGTGGGGAGTAAAAAAATTACAGTTTACTTAAAAGTACCCGGGAGTATAAGAGTGAACAAAATTTAAAAGTTTAGTTACAAAATTAATTGGCTTTACCCGTCATAGTAGTTTATTTTTTATAATTTAGGCAGATAAAACCGAACAGATTTAATTTTCCTGCAAAGGTGGGTGCAGGCGACCCCCCCCCCAGAGTCTCCGCCACTGGATGGGAAGCACAGGGCAGTGAAAATATAATGGTCGTTCATAAAGTAAATGATAGTAAACTTCTTATAAATCACTGTAATGTGAGTAAAAGATTCAAATTAAGCTTCGTGGCTTTTTCCTAGCATTGCAATTTGCATTCTTTAATAATTAATAAAGACCACAAATATAAAGTGATTTCAGTTGTTATGCAGTAAGGGTTTCTGTGATGGCGGCTCGTCTATTAGGGTTCACAATTTTAAGTATTTTACAAGCCTGTATTTACTTTTTTTTACTCCTAATTGGCTTATTATCCCTCTTGGAGATTCAATGTTCAACGGAAATGGCAAAAATGTAAAACAAACTTTTAAAAAGAAGACAGAAAATCAGTCAATAATAAAGAGATGATGACAAAGTGCAGAGAGTTTTGCTCTTCCAAAGACCGAGAATTTGCGCTCTGAGCAGTAGTTCGAGCTCCTCCTCTTGAAATTAAGATTCCTGGAACTGCGTTTTCCCAGCTCTCCGATTGACTCGACTTCCCCATTTGGCGTTTTCGCATTTCTCAATAGTCAGTCTGATAGTAGTTTTTTTTTTATAATATCAAATTCTGGAGAATGTATTTTTTACTCCTTTATCTTTTTAGAGATTGCTCATTACAGCGAATCTGAGGTTTGGTACAAAAATGTTTGTTGAAGTTTAGTTTAATAAAAAAAACATGAAAAAAAATTTTTTTCAGTTTTTGTTATAACTCAAAAATAATTTTGATACATTATCATATACCAAAATAATCAGCACAAAATTTCCAACAACAGATCTGTACAAAAGTGCAGCCTGCTTGTTCTAAACTAACTAACAAGCTGCTAAGGTTTGGTAATGAGACCGAAGGTCTGGGTAAAATTGTTTGATGGTCCTTCCCCTACCCAAAGTCGTATGTTCTTAGATGTCGGCTGAAAACTGGACATTCATGGTCCTCCACGCCACGTAAGATTCTGCCGCATCAGCTCAAAGCCACGGTGCCAAAGTGGGGGGATGGGTGCAAAAAATAATTAGAGGCACCTAAAGGAAGTACCCAGGTGGTATAGATTGAGGGCTGGATTAACCTCAATTCAAAAATATTTAAAATTAACAAGTTTTCTTGGTTACTATTGATTGTTTGTGGAGTCAAAGTTTTAAGCGAGATAAGTTGGGGTAAGGGTTTAATTCTCCACTCAAGAATACTAAGGAGGAGACTGCACTCTGACCCGCTGCACTGAACATTAGGACAGAAATATTAATGACCATAAAAAGCGCTATAATGTGGCTTTTCGCAAGCCGCCATAAAAAGCAATTTACGATTATGATTACCGATGCATTCTCAGAATGCAGAGTCCTCCGCTGAGACAGGCAGATTGATTTCACCAAAATGAGGTGAAGTGAAAAAATGGAGGGAGATGTTGACATTTTTATAGCAGTCCCAAAGACACGTTTTGTTTGATTTATTTATTTAATATAAGACTAACTGAAAAAAGAGCAAATAGAAAAAAATTCGTCTATTCGGACTACGTGTCTTAGCTGGTAAGGAACTCCGGGAGTGCGCTCCGCACTTACTTTCGTTGGCTATCACCCTTTCAAGTAATATAAACGTCAAAGGTACTTTAGTCCGGGTTTTGAAACAGTACACATAAAATTATGTTGTGAAAATTTTAATCGAGATTCGTATAAAACACTCGCTATCTTATCGGAAAAATAGCTTTCACAATAAGTCGGTACATTAATCCTTTCTAAGGCCGTGTCAAATATTTTACCACAAATTCATGAATTTGTAAATATACATGGTAAGCTATTTTCCACCTCTGATTAGAGCTTGTATGTCTGAATAACTTCCAAAAATAAAAATCACAACGAAGTGTCTGGATTTGTTAATTAATAATTAGTTAATAAGATTAATTAACAAAACAAATCAATTTTATTTAATAGAATTTTTCTTAAATCATGTCCAATCCTAATAATATAATATTTAAAGATACTACTACTCGAAAAAAGTGGCTCTCAACGAAATCATTAACCAAACTGTCACTGACCGAACAGGGATTGGCACCCTGGACCGTTAGGTTAAAAGCCTAACGCCCTACCGACTGAGCTATCCGGGCCTGCTGCATCAATAAATGTTGAGAATAATATCTCTATGGAGAAGACTCATTTTTAATAAACTCGCTTTTCTTCTAGCAGCATTTCACGAGTAGTTACACAGCAACTGTGTTTATTTTTCAGGAAAATGAAATCACAGCTTTTTACGATTTTGGAATTCAAACTGTTATAGAATGACTTCTGTACAAATTAAAATTTTATATGACGTTATTACATAATTAAATTCTCACAATTTAGTTTATATAACGATAACTTTGTAAAAATTTTGTTTTGAAGCTGAGACTTACGGTTTATTTTTAAAAGCTAAAGTATCCACAGGCAACTGCGGGATTTGAACCCGCGCCTCGAAAGACTGGTGCCTAAAAAATGAACAAAGGCCAGCGCCTTAAACCACTCGGCCACGCTACCCCGGATCAAGAGCATGCATGACAGATACTATCAAATGATAATAAATGTATTGAGGGTAATCGGCTGGTAATGAATATAATGAGGAAACATTTAAAAAGTGGTAAGTCATTGATGGTTTAAATCATGTTACAACATCATCATATTTTGATTGAAACACCTAAAAAGTGACAGTGGGCATAAAACCATAAATCAAATCATTTCAGAATATTTATAATAAAGAATTATAAAGTGAAGACTAAAAAGTAAAAAATGTTTTAAATAAGCATTTTTTCAGTACACTAATAAAATAGTGTTTTTAAAAGTTTTTTACATTATTTTTATTTTTCTACATTCACTGCTATTTCTCTGCATTCCCATACAATGATGTGCAACCGTATTTTGACCCTCCAAGAACTTCACCCCCTCTTCCCCCCGGCATATCCGGATTTCAACAACAACAAAAAATTACTGTCCTACCTCCAGGAGAAAAAGCCTGAACGGGATTGCCTCACGTAGACGAGTCGAAGGAAAGAGGGAAAAACATATAAATAGAACCGCAACATTTGGCAAACTAAGCGCTCTTCGTTAGGCGAGAATTCGTTTTCGACCGAAGTACAAAGGGAAATTAGATTTCCGCCAGTTCTATCTGCGCCTAACGAAATGAAGCGATTTTCTTCACTCCAAAATGCAGTGGAATATCCCGTTTCCATAACGACCGCCACCGGGATGTCTTGTGTCTCGGGTTTATCTCCAGGTGGTAAGACAGTATGGTAACGCTATGTATGAATCAACCTTAATTCCTACAATCAAAACACTTTAAGCATGTCACTCCAAAGCTGCAAACTTGCCATACTCTTCATCGATCAGCAAACTTGCCTCTGAATATTTTATGCGAACTTTAACTTTATAACTTTGCGACTCAGTAGTCGCTGAACTGCAATTCCAATTTTTAAATTTTTTTGTAGCTTTTGCTGTTACCCTTTATCTCTAATATAAGACATTAGTTATGTTTTTAACACATGTAGTTACCGACATATAGAGGATCTCCCATACAACGTGTTTTGTGGCGTTTTGGCGTGTGAATCAAATTCCTTCCTAAGACCCAATGGGAGGAACGTAGTCCTACGTTAAAACCCCTTAAAATGCTTTAGCTCACAAAATTTTTGTATTAATAAATTCGAATCATGGACGATATTTTATCAGTATATTAATAGGAATTTCAAGGGACAGGAATTAATGAAGAATTCGAATTAAAAATGTTCGACATTTCCCAAGTTTTACTTCTTTCTTCTTCTTTTCTCCCAATTAAATAAATAAGTAGTAAAGGGTAGACCGATTTAATAAAGACAATTAATTAAAATTATTTTATTGAATAGCAAATATTTAAAAAGTCTAACAAGAAAGTTTTTTTAATGTGTTCAAAACATTTGCCGAATGACGCTGTCGTTTTTTCGCGATCGTTTTTCACCTTCTTCCGAATAATATATACCGCAATTAATTTAATAAAATCACTGTGGATATTTGATTGATCTCACTTCAAATACTGACAGCAGTTTTTAAAGTAAAGTAAAAAATATATGTATCATATCAAAACCTTAAAAAAATCTCGTATTTTGTTTGAAGTGCAGAGAGTCAACTTTGTGACATCATAAATTCCCCGATTCTCCTCTGAAATATCCGTAAACAAGCCATTCTTTTGCCAGGACCAGGGAATTTCTCCGGCCCTGCTCTTTTCTCCTGGCAACGCAAGTGCCACACTATCACCACAACGACCTTCACAGAGTACAATCTTAGGAGGGGGGGGGGGGGACCTGACTAACTTCCTAGTTCCTGGTAGGGGGATAACGTTCTCATAACAACAGAAAAAGGATTCATGCTCTCATGTTATAACTGCCTCCCCCTTTGTGATAGTGGACACATCTCTGCAAGTGACCACTCCTCTCTCAGACTCGGTTTACCCTCTCCGAGTGAGAGTTCACTGGTGTGTGCTTCTGACGCTTATGTTAAAGATTGTAGTGTCGTTCCCAGCTTTTCATTGTGCCTTAGAATCAGACCGCATTCTGGAGAATCGGTTCTGAACACTGCTAGAAGACTTGTATGCTAACTGATTGCCTGTTTAGAACGTAAAGAAAGAACTGTGCATTATTTGTGTTCAATTCGTTCTCAGTTTGTCTGCAAATGTTAAGAACGAAATAGAACGGCTTGAATAGCTGAAGCTGCACCGGACAGTTTTCATATTTTGGATAGTAAGAACATTTCCGAAAACAGCTGCTCAACTATGGCAACTGAAAGGTTTACTTCTGACATAAAATATAAAATGGTGGAATTTTGGATTCCCTCGGATGTTGTTCAGCACAGTTTTATTGTCCAAAATTCGATATCACATTTGGACTTAGATGTCAGTCCGTCATACAGACTTAGGACTTCCTTCTTTCGCTGTTATCCTAAATACTCTCCTTACAGCGCATGTCAAACACTGAAGAGAAATGCCAGAAATTTCATTCAGGAGCAAGCCTACATAGTGAACTACATTTGAGGTTGCCCAAGCACGAGGAATGGAGCTTAAAGAATCGTTTCCTAAGAACTAGAGAATATACTGATCCACCTTGCTTAGCCAGAATAGAAATTTGCGATGAGCTTCTATATTCATATATTGCGCGAATTCATCCAGTGTAAGCTTGCAATTCAACGTTGATCTGAATGAAAAAAGTTTAAAGATGGTTTATGAAAATTGATGAGTTAAATATTATAAAAAGTATTCTTATGGCTCCAAATGTATTGAAAGCCTTTGTTGATTCCATGCACGTCAATTCGCAGATTCGGAATTTGGAGAAGATGATCTTACAAAGTTGGACTAGTTAAGACTTGTTGAGACAAGTGAAAAGCCTGAATAGTGGGAAATTTGCTTCATCTAGTCCATCGTAGAGTGGCAGATTAGAGCATAAAATGTGGAGTGTGACTTCTCAGATCGTTGTTTTTCGCACACATGATGTTGGCAGAAGTTTTAAAGTTCGTGATGCCCTCATCTCCGTGTGGACGTTTTGTTGAATTGTTTGAAAAAGAAATTTCACATTAGGTGCGTGATTCAGATCTTTCCCTAATTATATCCATGTCAGAATACAAGTTATTTATTACAAAATTGTTAAATATTGCTATACCAAAAATGCAGTAAATTGGCTAATCCTCTACCGGTTTTTTTTTTTTCAATTCGTCGGAAGTTCGGAATTTTCTGTCCTTTGAATTTCTATTAGCATACAGTTAAAGTTTTGTGTGTCGCCTCCGTCTTGAAAGAAAACTGGGCCAACTTAAAGTGGTAATGGCGCTAAAACTTGAATTTTTTTTGGCGATAAATCCCAAATGTGGTAGACCCAATGGCTTTTCTGTTGCAACTAAGGTTTTCTATTGCAACCAGAGTTTTCCATGTTGGCACCAGCTTAAGGGCGATGTATGTACCGCCACTGTTGTTTACTAAAGCGACCTACTGGCTAATATCTGACATTGTCAGACCGTACCAAGCTGGATTACGTCTCACCAAATATCCAGTTTCACCCCATCCATTTAGTGGGACATTCCACAGAGAAGGAGAAGACTGGTCTCACTACCATAGGGTGACGGGATAGGGTAATACCTTAAAAGAATAGACAGACAACAGGATTTAAAAAATTAAGTAACAAAACTAGCAGCTTTCCCGGACCCAAATGCTCTTTATAATTTCTAGGTGAACTAAAATGAAGGAAAAATGTAATTAAATTTTGTAATTATAACAGCTTTCTTTATTCAAATTATTTACTATTGGTTTGTTAATTATTATGAAAACCATTAAATATTAAATAAACTGCATTTTTACCGCCTTTTATTCTTGAAATGGATATTTTCTGCTTCTATCCATAGTCCATTTTTATTAATAAGCCATTAAGAAAGAACTAATTTTTTATTCTGAATCCTTTCAGTTTCGAATAAGCCAAATTCCACTGTAGTTATTGATGGAATTTTTTAAAAATAATATACGTACTTGATGGTTCTCAATTGATATATCTAATTTTATTTTTTAATCGATGTAAACTGCAAAAATACCAAAAGAAATTAGTTATTGACATTTATTGGCGCCAAACTAAAAGAAGAAACGCAATCTCCTTTTCTATACCAAATGCTAAATTTTTACTTTAAATCGTAATTACTTCATGTTACAACTACACAAGTACGCACAGCCAAATATTAACTTAAGTGAAATACTTATATCAATACTAATAAAGATGAACGTCTATCTATATGTTGGCGATCTCCAAAACAGACCGCTAAACTGGAGCTCCTACATTTGGCACAGGTATGCTGTGAATGATGATGAATACACTTCGGAGCCATTTTTTTTCTCTCAAATTTTAATTATTTAAAAACTATGCCTAAAATAAGTCACTTTTTCGCCAATTTTTATACCATTTTTAGGTGCTACCTATAAAAAACCTAAAAAAAAGCACCTTTTTAGGTGCTACCTATAGGGCCGCGGTAGCCTAGTGGTAAGGTCCCGGCTTTCGGGCCGGAGGGCTCCAGGCTCGAAACCCGATTCCACCGAATATCCGCCGTGTATGGGGCCTGTTGCACGCTAAATCATGCGCAGTGGCCAAACGTCCTCCCGTTGGTGTGGCGTGGAAGTTTGGAGAAGGGGGTGCCAGCTCAGGCGTCGTCCTCGTCATCTGACCGCGGTTCAAAATTACGAGGTCCGTCCCAAAATAGCCCTCGTGTTGCTTCAAAATGGGTCGTTAATATAACTTAACTAAACTAAGGTGCTAACTATTATCTTTTGGATAACATGCGATTTCTGTCTCATTTTTACGAATTTTTTAACTATCGTGAACTGCCGTCAAGGTTTCTCAAGGGGACAGACTATGTTACGTTCCTCTTGACAGGACGAAGGGACGAAGGTTTTAGAGGGGAGGTAGGGAAGTTAGGGGAATGGGAAATTTCGTTGCTAAAGGGAAAATTTTTTTTCCAAAAAATTTTAATGCATTATGTTGAGAAAATAT